TTAGCACTAGTATGTGGGTGTCTAATTAGAGTCCTTAGAATTTCAAGGTGAAATATATGGATTAAGACTATTTTCATTTTATCATGAAGGCTAGCTAACAGCTTGAATTTTAGTGCATGATTTTGAGGCTAGACATTTATAAAGATTAATTGATTTTCAAAGTTTGGGGACTTTGGAGCAGATTTTAATATTAAATATTAAGTAGATTATATTACATGCATATTGTTGGCTAGGCACCGAGATAAATACTTTCCAAGCATCATGTCACTTACTCCTGACAACAACTCTGTGAGGTGATTACTTTTACTCCCACTGAGGGGTGAACTCATTTGTCCAGAGTCACCCAGCTATGAGGTTGAGTTGAGTTTTGAACCTGAACAATTTACCTGCAGAGCCTTTATTCTTAACTACTAAACTGTGCTGCCTTCCTGTGAAGGAAGCTTTTAGAATGTCTTCCCTTTGAACTCTTAAAAACTGAGAATGAACTGAAGGTTGATGGGGGGTGGGAGGGAGGGGAAAGTGGGTGATGGGCATTGAGGAGGGCACCTGTTGGGATGAGTACTGGGTGTTGTATGGAAACCAACTTGACAATAAATTTCATATTAAAAAAATAAAAAATAAAAAGGAAATGCTATGTATACTAATAGTGAAAAATTTAAAAAAATCTGTGAGACTAATAAAAGGCGGGATGACTATTTAAATAAATTACTATTACACACTTGGGAAAAAAAAAAGAATCTCTTCCCTTTGAAACTGAGGACAACTTCCTGTCAAGTGGGGTGGTTTAGAGCAGTCATGGGAAGTGAGGGGTTAGGTGGACGGGAATATCCAGAGGGAGAGGATCTGAAGCTTGAAAATGTTCCCCAGTTGTCTTCATTATGTCTCCCTCTGTCCCTGAAGTGAGAACCTCTGCCCTAGGCATCCTACCTGGATTAGAGATTCTGAACATGATGCCTTCAAAAAAAAGGAGGCCTTCTCTAACTGGGTGTGGGTGGTTCATTGCCTGTAACCCAAGGCAGCCTGATATTTTAAAAACAAGTGTCCTCAAAGGCAGACAATGTTTTATCACCTATGTATGGCTTATACCTGCCATGAATGATCTGTGGTCAAGGTTTTATCTCAGTTGGTTTTCCCTTCACACTTTTCATTTTGATTGCCTTCTACAAGGAGGGTAATGCCATTTATATATTTACCTGAGCCAGGTTTATAAGGTTGCTTGGTTGCAAGGTATGTATCTCAAAGTCAAGTAGATAGGATATTCTGGATTATGTGCTCTTGCAGGTTTCTCTTCTCCGTGTGTACATTTGTTCAACAAATATTTATTAAGCACCTAACTCACAGTTAGGAGGAGGAGGAGAAGGAGGAGGAGGAGGAGGAGGAGGAGGAGGAGGAGGAGAAGGAGAGAGGTAGTTGAACTGGAATTTCGATATATTAGGATAAATGACAAATGAGGTAAGCCCGTGTGCTATGACAGTACACAGAAAGGGCAGCATAAGGGTCAGGGAAGCCTTCCTGGGGAAGCAACTTCTGAGCTGGGAATTGAAAGATAAGGAGGGCTTAGCTAATGAAGGGGGCAAAGAGGGCATTAGAAGCAAGGGAACATAATGAGTGTAGAATTTCGCAGCTGGAACATGAACTGCGCAGGGGATGAGGCTAGAGGAATAAACACAGGTCAGGTTATGAAGGAAGGGCAGTAGGGAATCACTGAAGGGTTTGAAGCCTGGGGGTGGGGTGGGGACACCTCAATCACATTTATAGTGTATAAAGGTTCCGTGAGTTAAGAATGGACCTCCTTGTCTATCTCGTGTGCTTGTTAGTAAATCAGAACATCGGAACTGGTGGGTGGCAAATAAGGAATCTTGATGGATTTGTAGATGGAAGGGCTGACCCAATAATCTAAGGGTTCCTTTTGATAACCTTTAGAGAAGAATTTTCAAATTTGACTTGATCCTTCTGTCTTTGAAACCCCCTGACAATACTCCCTAAAATTCTTTCAAAACCAAAGCCTGAGTAGGGAGGAGAATGGGGGCTGTGTGACTTTGTTTTCTCTGTTCTCCACTACTCATTTCCGGGGCATTGCTGTGAATTGTTCATCCAAAGCCTTGCTCCCCATGAGGAGGGGACCATTTGAATAGCAGCAGGGGAGTAGAGGAAGGAGGAACCACACGCCGGGTTCGTTCATTAAGAAAATATATTTGGCATATTCAGACAATGGTTTGAGCGAGTTAAAAATAACTCCTCGTGAAAAATTAATAGGGAGTTATAAGTGAGTGTTTTAATACAAGCTCACAGAGCAGGGCAGATTCTCCAGGTGGCTGGCGGCTGACATCACGGATGTGTTTATAGAGCACGGGGTGGCCAGAGAGGAGAGTCGTCTGCAGAAGTGAGCTCACCTTCTCTCCCGGAACCCAGAGAGGGAGGAGACAGAAAGAATTGTTTTGGTTGTGAGCTACTGAGCTAGGTGACTTATTTCTTTCTCCTTACCCATCACACTCTCATAACTGCGGACATAAAAATTGTAGTGAATTTTGCCTGGTTGCTTTGGGTGAAGTATACTGAATGTCAGAATTCATAAAATGGCCTTTCTGGTTCTTCTCCTTTCTTAGTAATGGACCCTTGTTGGCTGCTACACTCATTTCTCCAGTGTTTCTTCGCCCGACAGACTGCTCCTCTCATTCTTACAGGTAGTTATAAAGGCCCTGCTCCTTTCTCCCACTTCCTCTCTTCTTACAGCGCCTCTGTGGGCCTAGGTAGGTAAAGCCAAGGGTTGGACTGTACTTTCTTTTCCATCAGTACAGCTAAATGGATGATGCAGAATGAGGAGAAAGGAAAACAAAGTGATGTCTGACCTTGGGTAGCTGATTTTGGGGCTAAGGGTGTTAAGACTGGGGGACCAATATTTGTATTTTAAACTCAGATGATATTTAAAAAATGGTTCTGTAATTGCAATGAGGCCCTTTAGGCCGTGAATTAATGTGTCATAACTCACGCCCAAGCACTGCGCAAACATCCCGCGTGTGAATTATTGCACAATAAATTCATGCCCTGTTGTGTCTTACAGCTTAATTAGTACATGAAGCTACATGAGTTAGACGAACCCAAATGGGATTATGTCATGTGGTGCGTAAAAAAGCAGAATGTTGGGAGGTATTTGGCACTTTTTCTGGGGGGAAAGCAGGGCTGATTTTTCTGGAGTGTCCTCTGGTGTCAATTTCTGTGATTTGGGGCTGCAACAGGTGACATGTGACTTCTGAGCTTTGGTTGGTTGGTTGAATATGGGTTCAGTAAATATCTATTGTTTACTATGTCTTAGGCATTATGGAGGGATAGCACATATAAGATGAAATACGAAGCAGCAGCTTTGAAACCTGAGCACCCGAACTCGGCAGCCTCAATTCAACTCGGCTTAACTCAGCCTCACTGAACCCAATCTGAGACTCTCTGCTCACTGGGCTTGCTACAGCACTCCGATCCTAGAACCCTCTTCAATTCCAGCTAGAATGTTGTATCAGGCACTTCGCAGATTTGGTCAAAAGCTGGTACGGAGACATACACTGGAGCAATACGTGGCTAAGATTTCCACTGCCGGAAGGCCGAGCACTCTGGATATAGTGGCCTTGGGTGTGGTCAACACAGTGGGTGCAGGTGTGTATGTCCTGGCTGGTGAGGTAGCCAGTGATAAAGCAGGACCATCCATTGTGATCTGCTTTTTGGTGGCCGCCCTGTCTTCTGTGTTGGCTGCTCTGTGCTATGCAGAGTTTAGCGCCCGGGTTCCCCATTCTGCTTCTGCATATCTGTACAACTATGTCACTGTAGGTGAACTCTGGGCTTTCATCACTGGCTGGAACCTCATTCTCTCCTATGTTACTGGTGCAGCCAGTGTGGCCCGGGCCTGGAGCTTAGCTTTTGACAACCTGATTGGGAACCAGATCTCTCAGACCTTGCATGAGAGCATCCCACTGAATATTCCCCATGTCTTTGCAGAATATCCAGACTTCTTTGCCATGGGCCTGATGTTGTTGTTCACCGGACTGCTGGCTGTCAGGGCTAGTGAGTTTGTCTTGGTTACTACAGTGTTCACAGTGGTGAATGTTTTGGTTCTTGGTTTTGTCATCATCTCTGGCTTCCTTAAGGGGAAACTGCACAACTGGCAGCTTACGGAAGAGGACTACATAATGACCATGTTTAGACTCAATGACACTTCTCCCTTGGGCCCTCTGGGCTATGGAGGATTTGTGCCTTTCGGTTTCCAGGGGATTCTCCGTGGAGCAGCGACCTGTTTCTGTGCATTTACTGGTTTCGACAGTGTTGTTACCATTGCCGAAGAAGCCCAAAATCTCCAGCGTTCTGTCCCCATGGGCATTGTGATTTCAGTGTTCATCTGCTTTTTGGTGTATTTTGGGGTCTCTTCAGCACTTACGCTTATGGTGCCTTACTACCAGCTTCAACCTGGGAGCCCCTTGCCTGAGGCATTTCTCCATATTGGCTGGGCCCCTGCCCGCTATGTCGTGGCTATTGGAGCCCTCTGTGCTCTTTCTACCAGCATCTTGGACTCTATGTTTCTCCTTCGTTGGATGACCTTCGTGATGGCAGATGATGGCCTCCTGTTCGGTGTCCTTGCCAGGATAGACTCCAAAACAAGCATCCCCATTGTGGCCACTGTGGTCTCGGGCATTATCACAGCGTTGATGACATCCTTCTTTAGACTCACTGATCTTGTGGACCTCATGTCATTTGGGACCCTGCTTACTTACTCCCTGGTGGCTATTTGTATTCTCATTGTCAGGTATCAGCCTGAATTGAATGATGAAGAAAATGAAGCAGAGGCACAGGAGGAGAATGGGCCTGCAGCAGAGAAGCTGACTCTGTGGAGACTATTTTGTCCGGGCAGCTCCACCCCCACTCCACTCTCTGGCCGGGTTGTCTACGTTTGCTTCTCACTGCTTGCTCTGCTCCTCCTTCTTCTTTGCTTGGTGCTGGTCCAGTGGCCAGTTCTACTGCTTTTTGAAAACCCACTGTTGATTATAGTGGTTGTGCTACTCCTGATTCTCATCACTGGGATCACTGGGGTCATCTGGAGACAGCCACAGAGCCCCACTCTCCTTTACTTTAAGGTCCCTGCTCTGCCTTTCCTCCCAATAATGAGCGTCTTTATGAATGTTTACCTTATGATGCAGCTGACACTTGGCACCTGGGCCCTCTTTGGTGTCTGGATGCTGATTGGGTTTGCTATCTACTTTGGCTATGGGATCCACCATGCATGCAGGATTAACCCCACTTGAGTTAGGACCAGAATTGTGGACCTTGAACTCTGCAGTGCCTGTACATATTCGATTTTACATCATCACACCTGGATGCTGTCTGGTTTCCTTGCACAATAATGGAGGGTACTTTGGAGCACAACATCAATGGGATATTGATGGGGAAACACTAATAGAGCTCTGTATGTATTGTGAAGGATGTGTCTTTGCTCTTTCTCATCTTTAAAAAAAGGTTTTTTTTTTTTTTTAACTTATCTGCTTTTCAATTGTGTCTGTAACTGTTTACTGGTTTTAAAAAGTTATTATTAAAAGAAACTAGAGGGGCGCCTGGGTGGTGCAGTCGGTTAAGCGTCCGACTTCAGCCAGGTCACGATCTCGCGGTCTGTGAGTTCGAGCCCCGCGTCAGGCTCTGGGCTGATGGCTCGGAGCCTGGAGCCTTTTTCCGATTCTGTGTCTCCCTCTCTCTCTGCCCCTCCCCCGTTCATGCTCTGTCTCTCTCTGTCCCAAAAATAAATAAAAACGTTGAAAAAAAATTAAAAAAAAAAAGAAACTAGAAAAAGTGTTTTTGTTTTCTTTGGGTAAATACCCAGTAGTGGAATTACTGGATCATATGGTAATTCTATTTTTAATTTTTTAAGGAACCTCCATACTGGCTCAATAGTGGCTGCACCAACAGCCACCAACAGCACATGATGGTTCCTTTTTCTCCACATCCTCACCAACACTTGTTATTTTCTTGTCTTTTTGGTTTTAGCCATTCTGACAGGTGTAAAGTGATAACTCATTGTAGTTTTAAATTGAATTTCCCTGATAATTAGTGATGCTGAACATCTTTTCATGTGTCTGTTGGCCATCTGTATGTCTTCTTTGGAGAAATGTCAATTCAGGTCCTCTGCCCATTTTTAAATTGGATTATTTGTTTTTTGTGTGTGTTGAATTGTGTAAGTTCTTTATGTATTTTAGATATTAACCCCTTATTGGATATATCATTTGTGAATATCTTCTCCCATTCAATAGGTTGCCTTTCTGTTTTGTTGATGGTTTCCTTTGCTATGCAATAGCTTTTCACTTTCACTAATTTGAAAAGATACATGCACCCCTATTTTTATTGCAATGCTATTGACAATAGCCTGGATATGGAAGCAAGCTATCCATTGATAGATGAAAGAATAAAGTTGTGACACACACACACACACACACACACACACACAATGGGATACTACTCATCCATAAAAGAGAATGAAATCTTGCCATTTGCAATGACGTGGATGGAGCTAGAGCTTATTATTATTATTAGAGTGCATGAGGGGGGGAGAGAGGCAGAGGGAAAGAGAGAGAGAGAATCTTAAGCAGTCTCCATGCTCAGTGTGGAGCCTGACAGGGGCTCAATCCCATGACCCTGGGATCATAAACTGAGCCAAAATCAAATCGGATGCTCAACTGACTGAACCACCCAGGAGCCCCTCGAGTATGCAAAATAAGTCAGGTAGAGAAAAACAAATGCCATATGACTTAACTCAGATGTGGAATTTAAGAAATAGAAGAAATGAATAAACAAAAAGACAAACAAAAAATCCCCCCCTAGATTCTTTTTTTTTTTTATTTAAAAAAATTTTTTTTAACGTTTATTTATTTTTTTGGGACAGAGAGAGACAGAGCATGAACGGGGGAGGGGCAGAGAGAGAGGGAGACACAGAATCAGAAACAGGCTCCAGGCTCTGAGCCATCAGCCCAGAGCCCGACGCGGGGCTCGAACTCACGGACTGCGAGATCGTGACCTGGCTGAAGTCGGATGCTCAACCGACTGCGCCACCCAGGCACCCCAAGATTCTTAAATACAAGGAACAAACTTGGTGGTTACAAAAGGGGAGGTGTGTGGGAGAAAGGGTGAAAGAGATAAAGGGAATTAAGAGTGTACTTATCTTGATAAGCACTGAGAAATGTATAGAATTGTTGAATCGTTATATTGTACTCCTGAAACTGTATGTTAATTATACTTCACTAAAAAAGTAAACTAGAAAGAGACAAAAAATATATATAACTGAAATATGGTCCCTTCCCTTAAGGAGCTTATATTCTGTGTTTTTTTTTAAGTGTTTATTTATTTATTTTGAGAGAGAGAGTGCATAGGGGAGGGGCAGAGAGAGAGGGAGAGAGAGAACCCCAAGTAGGCTCTGCACTATCAGCACAGAGCCCGATATGGGGCTTGATTTCATGAACTGTGAGATCGTGACCTGCCAAAATCAAGAGTCAGATGCTTAACTGACTGAGCCACCCAGGTGCCCCAGGAGCTTATATTCTAATACAAGGGGTAAAGCATAGCTGCAAGTGTTGTCATTAGTAATATACAAATAAAGGGTCTTGGAAATTTGGAGTGGAGGTTGATCATTTGTGGCTGGCACAGTGGTGAGGGTTGATCGGTGAAATCAGAGAAGACTTTGTTGAGGAATGGCATTTGAGTTGGCTCTCTTTAGGGACAGATAGGATTTTGCCATAAGTGGGCAGCAGGGAGAGATTGTAGCAGAGAGAGAACACCAGGAAACGTACAGGAAAATGAAGCAGAGGCTTGGCTGTCTGAGAGGGCAACAGGCCATGCACAGGTGGATTGGAGCCAGAGCCTTCCTCTGAGCACAAAGCACTTTGGCTTTGAATCCACCACCCATGCTGAAAATCCCTGGGGTTGGTTTTTTCTACTTGCTAATATCAGTATCCCTGGATTTTAAAGTTTCTCTACTATTGTCTGCTTTGGTCCACTTGTTCAGAAAGTGCGTAGTTGAGAGCCAGGTGTCCTGGGTTTTGTGTTTCCACCACTAACTAGCAATGTGGCCTCGAGCAAGCCACTCAGTTCCTTCAACACTCTGCTTATTTATCTGTAACACAAGAGGTCACAACTGATCATTTCTTTAAAAAAATTTTTTTTAATGTTTTTATTTTATTTTTGAGAGAGAGAGAGAGAAAGAGAGACAGAGATCGAGCAGGGGAGGGGCAGAGAGAGGAGACACAGAATCCGAAATAGGCTGCAGGCTCTGAGCTGTCAGCACAGAGCCTGATATGGGGTTGCAACTCACGGACCATGAGATCATGACCTGAGCCCAAGTCAGATGCTTAACCGACTGAGCCACCCAGGTCCCCAGAACAGGACATTTCTACAGTTCCACTTAGTTAAAAAATTCAAGGATTTCCTCTGTTTTTTCTGTCCTGTTATTCTCTCAACTAGGTCTGTCTACTGCATGAAATCTAAACCTGTATCCTGCCCACTTTTCACGATGACCCACTGTTGGAGCAATAAAGGTACAGTAAATAACACCCCATGGCCCCCCTCCTATGTTTGGAACCAATCGATAATCAAGATACAGAGACAGGTGGTTAAACTGTCAACTTTAGACAGACTTACTCATCACGAGTAGTACTGAGCACCCCCGGCCATCCATCACAGTAGAGAGCCTGCTTTTATTAGATTTTTTCTCATGTATGAGCAGGTTGAATGCATGTGTCCTGTGGGCAGGTCAGCCCTGGATAAAAAAAGAAAACCAACAAATCACTGGAAGAGGCTGAGCTGGGCATGCTCAGTGCTGTCTCTTCAGCTCACTAATCAGGTACAGTGAGAGAGGGGGTGTGGAGAGAGGCCAGGAATAGTACTCTGCTCAGTGGTTCTCAAACTTCAGTGAGTGTCTGTCACCTCACCTGAAGGGCTTGTGAAAACAAGCTTGTAACAGGTTCCAGGTGATGCTGACACTGCTGGTCCAGGGACCACACTTTAAAAACCAAAGCTCCTGCTGAAGCCCTTCCACATGTAAAGATGAAGTGAGGGGAACAAAGGTGCCCTTTTAACATTTACCTTCATTTAATGAAACATTTAGATTAAAATACCATTGTTAAGTCTTTCACAGTGGGGAAATCATAGTGAATCATTTCATAATGTATGTGTATATCAAATCATCACAATGTCCACTTTACATAGCTTTACAATTTTATATGTCAGTTATACTTCCTCACTAAAGCTGAAATAAAAAAAATAAAATACTACGGTTATCTGTGTGTCTTTATTTTTTCTACTAGATTGTAGGCCATAGGTAAGGAGTGTATCTTGTTCACTCCCCCAGAGCATCCAGCTGGGGGCCAGGCACATAATGAACATTTAATCAATTTATGTTAAATTGAATTAAGCCTTACATGTGTCTTTGGTGTAGAAAATTCTCCCTCTTCTCATGCTAGCACTGTGCTACTCCTTTAAAACTATCTCCTAGGACAGTCTCCTTGACAAATGGCATTTCTCTCCATTTAGAACCCAGCGTCTAGAACTGTACCCAGGCACTTCTACTTTTGCCTTTGTTTGGCTATGCCTGAGTTCTGGTGACTATCCTATCCTGTCTGTTCCAGCACAGTGGAATCTTGCTCAGGGCAAGAGGGGAGGTTCTCTCCTTCCTCTAGACCTAGCAGAAAGAACAGTGTTGTTCATTCAAAGAGCAACAGGGAAAATACAGCCCTGGGGCAGGAGAATGCCTGAACCTACCTCCTCTGGTCCCTCTCCATCTATTCCCATGGGATTTGGGGAGGAGCAGGAAGTAGTGAAATTGATAGAAGACCCAACCCATTCTACCTGACTCCACAGAATCCCTGAAGTCTAGACTGTCTCCAGCGTGGGCACAACAGACATCTTTCTTGAAGCAGTCAGAGTTCTATGTTTTGGCATAGAAGGACCAGTGTCTTTCTATTTATGTATGGGGCCTGCCCTGAGAGAGGGGGATAGGAAGCTACTGTCTTACTTGTGGAATTTCTCATATTTGCAACAGGGAGCAGTTGACTCCAGAGAAACCTGCTGGAGGGAGAATTACCATATATTTACCAACTCCTTTAGACGCTTTTTGAGAGACTGCTGAAAAAACCTTGTGAGATCATCTAAGATTCTTTGGGGAGAGAGAATTTATACTGTATGGGGAGAAAAATTGGACTGAAATAAGAGGAATTAGGAACTGGTTAAGGATTGAGACATCATGACTTTGGAAGGGAAGGTATGAGTAGAAACTGAGAAAGAGGTATTGGCCAACAGAAACTTCCTGGAGGAGGATGCCTATGGAGAAATTTGGGAAATAAAAGAAGGATAGGTGAGCTGGAAAAGAAATGGGACAGTAATTCTAGGCTACACGGACCTTTAAGAGTCATGAAAGAATAAGTCTTGTGAGGGATGTGTTTTTTCACATTTGAAGGGAATTTATGAGCCAGGTTTGTATTTTGCATTTGTGCCATGGAGTGAGATTTCTGAATCAGGAAGATGAGATATGATTCTTATTGCAATCTGGAGGATAGACAGGATATAGAT